CACGAGAACATGACATATCCCTGGTGGGTATTTATGTGTGTATAGAGGGATGGAGGTCCAGCTGTAACAATTTCCATCCAGATCCCAGGAATACAAGAACTGGAAACTCAGACACATGCTCCCTGCCAGAAATAAAGGAGTCCTGCTGCTGGCTGGTGTGTACAGTGACTAAGAAGCTGAAGAGACTGTTGATCATTTGCTTCAACAGTGTGCAAGGGGATAAACAGCAGAGGATAACCCAAGGGTTAAAGACTGATTCTGCCCCAAAGGGAGATTGAGACTGGTGTTTAGGAACTCCAAATGTCTCTGCTTTACATGCATTGCCGTGGGCAGCAGCAGTGTCAGAGCCAGGCAGAGCCATTGGGATGAACTAAACTCCTATGCAGCAGGAATGCAAGGGTGTGGGTGTGGGGATTTAAACCGGAATTCAGTGCAAGAGGAGAAGTCTGGGAGAAGGAAACAGGATGCTAGTGAAGGGAGACCCAAGTTGTGCTCTTAAGGATCCTGAGAGATAAGCTACAGTATGCTTCATGCCTACTCCTGAGTCACACAATGTTTCTGTTTTATTTTAGTCAATTGTGATGCAGAAGAGAGGAAAGAGGTCCCACAGAGCCCTACATCAGCATCCACAGTGCTAAAAGTTTGTACAGAACAAAAGTAATAGTGTAAGGTCCTAAAAAGCTGTCATTCAAAGTGGGTTCAAGCAGGAGCAGATGCCAAGGAGGTAGCCCAAAACAGAGGGGAGGTACTCAGAGCACTGGAAGGCATGCTTCTGCACCCATTGTAGCAGGGGATCTCAATGGAGAGAGGTGGGATTTGGTACAGAACTGTACAGAAAAAAAAATCCTGCTCTGGCTTGTACTGAAAGATCCCAAACATTCACATTGTCAAACCTTTGCCACAGTAAACTACTTTTTGAAGAGAAAACCATTTCTCCAGGAATCACAAAATTCTAAGACATAGTATTAATACATAAACTGGCTACCATGATTTCATGTTTAGTTTAGAAGTGACACCTTAAAAAGTCAGATACCAGAAAAAGCAGGTCACAGCCACAACAAGGGATTCATAAAAAAAGAAAAATAAATAGAAGTCAATTTATTGGCATGTGGTACAGCAGAAAATAACATTTGATCTTTGAAACTTCCTGTACCTCAGGGTGTTGATGGCAGCATGCAAAAGGCTTAAACCTCTTGTTACTGAAGGAGGAAACAAAAAGCATTATTTGTCCTATGGCCAAGGATAGAGGGCCAAGAATGTTTTTGATTGCTTGGCTGACCCAGTTTTTGTAATGCAGATGACTGCTTGCTGCTCATAAACTTCACCTATCTTGAAGAGAATTACCAAAATAGAGCTTATGAGGTTGGAGGAACTTGGGAGATGCCTGCTTGACTGTGGGTGAGAAAGACAGGTAGATTAACTTATAAATAATTATAAATACAGGTAAAATAGCTTACATGTTAAGCCTAGAGTTAACCAGGAACCTGAGTCAACAATCAGTTCTCTGTGATAGCTCAGTGGAAACTCTGAAAGGCATTAGCCCTGCAGTTACCACTGCTTGGAGGTAGTAATGACCAGGAGGGGTATTTCACTTTAAGTGGAACTGACCCTTCAGAGGGAGCTCTGCTGCTTTGAGTGATTGCCTTTGATGTGGCAGAACATGAAACATACAATGTCTTTTTCTGTAGGCTTGAAAACTTTGGCAAATTTGGAGGGACTGTAATACTCTTCATCTGATCAACTAACACAAGATGGAGAAATCAATGAGCTTTAGGGTAACCAACCTATTTTCTTTTTCCGAGGTAAGCAAGGATATTCCCAGAAGTATGCTAACCCTGGTCTGGCCTTGGTAGGAATCAGGATGGATAATAGAGCTTTTAATGTCTTTTGCCTCTGCATCTGAGGTGCAAAATCCACCTTTTGCACTCTCAGTGCTGTACTGTGGTGGGCACACAAAGGACATAGCTCTAGGTGAAGGAATGATGATCACACACAAAGTGACTTGAGAATGCCAGAATCAGTATTACATTTGATGGGATAGTAGACTGGTGAAAAAGAGCCTTTCTTACAGCCTTCCTCTGCTTTTTGCTGCTTGCAGTGTTGTCAGCAAGCCTCACTGGTTTGGAAGGAGTGGAGATGAGCTGCCAGTTGCTGTTTCTCATCTCGTGGGTTTGAAGAGCTGTTTCTCACTGACACTGGCCTGAACACTCATTCCTGGGGTAACCGCAACAGGATTTTCCAGAGCAAAGGCTACTAAAACACTGTCTGCAGTGCTTGGGGAAAGCTACAGAATGGAAACTGGGATGGAGCCTGATACTCCATCTGTTTTAGTAACAGTGTCTTGAGCTGAGAAGGAAAATGCATGCAATTAATACATTTAAATTTACTGGTATTTTTTTCTTGCTTTTAGTTCTGAGAACAAAGGGCTAGTTCATGGTGAGGAGTGAACCCAAAGCACTGAAGTATAGACTAGAAACTTTGGTTAAATAATTTCTGTTAATCAACAGAATAATCTTTGTAAATTCAACTGTGTAAGGATCAACCTTGTTCGCATCTCCTTAGCCTCCCTTCAGCCCACTTCCTGGATTAGCTTCTATTAATTCAGCTGTTACTCTGCTTTGAGGTACTAAATTAACTTTGAGCTCTTGTGTAAGAAAGAAGGAAGTAGGCAGGCTCCCCTGTGGTGTGACAGTGGGAAAGAACTGAAAAGACATGAATGTGCAAGTTCTGCTGTTTGTGAAGACAGACTCTTTTTCTTCATGTTATGTATTAAGTATTTAAGATGGTTAGTTGGCAGGTACACCTTATCTTCAATGATATGGAACTATACAGCTTGTACCATCTGGCCCTGAGACTGTCAGCACTGAAAAATCTGATTGTGACAGAGCTGCAATAGTCAGAAAACGCATTTCCTTTTCCCCAGCTGACTCTCAGTAGTCTGATCTTTGGTAAATGTCAAGTGTGGGGTTTTAATTCTGAGTTTCCTGGCTCTCATGTACCTTCTATTTTAACCAGCTTCAGACATGACTGCTGGTAGAGTTTTATCATGTGCTAACAACAAGAGGCTGATAAAGGGGAGCGTAGTACACACTTAGAGACTTGCCCTAAATACTACAGGCAAACTTTATCTTTTTGCTGATAACGCAGTTCATAAGGAATAAAGATTACAATGTGTAGACTACAACGGTGGTGGTGCCAGCACCGCAGGAGCTCCTCATTTTGGTGAGGGAGAGGAGGGAAATGAAGTTCAAAGATTTGGCTGCCCACCCAGTATGACAAATAGAAAGTGGTAAGCTGTGTATGTTTGTTAATGAGTACTACAGCTTCCTTGGCAGTTCTGTTTGCTGGAGCTCCTTGCTTTTCCAGGAGCCAGTGGTGTTCCCCACTGCCAGAGCTTTTCTAGTAGCAGAGACCTGGCATGATCCAGTGGGTTGAAATCACAGAGATTGCTGTTTTCTGGATGCTGTAATATTGCATGTGCTCCCAGAGCTACATAGAGCAGATATGCTGATGTTTTGAATTCCTCAGCTCAGCTCCAGCTCTTATCCCTGCAAGGAAATGAAGGGCTGGTGTACTGCTTTCCAGGTCACAGAACACCCCCAGAGAGGGAGGGGTAGTTCTTGGGGACAGATACAACTGGGAAGAGGTACCCTAGCACTAGAGCAGGGCCCAGTGTTAGCTACAGCTCAGGGTGTAGGTAGGTTTGCATCTGCACTTGGGCAGTCACCCCAAATGCCCAGGCCTGGCTCGAGAGACACTGTAAGGGCGAGGCAGAGTCACTGCTGTGCCTGAAACACAGACCCAAAGGCTCTCCCTGTGGAGACCTTTCCCAGCTCAAGCCTGCAAGAAAAACAAAGCCCTCTTGGCAGCCACAGAACTTCAAACTGATTTCCCCTTCTTTTAGTGACTTCCTCCTAAACACATCAGTTTGCCCTCAGTAACTCTGAAGTCCAAAGGCTCTTGGAAAAAACTCCCAGCTCCTTCCCAGTCTCTCTCACAGCAGGCGTGCCAAAGAGCCCAGGTAGCTCTCCCCTGGCAGCACGCGTTCCCGGCAGGTCAGCCTGCAGCTTTCGTCCCGCCTGCCCAGACGGCGGCAGGGCGGATCCCTGACCTACGCCCCGGGATGTCTGGCTGCGCTCTGCGCTGCGTGCTCTGTGCTGGAGGAATATCCAGCGCTTGTCCGCGACGCTCCCTGCAGCCCTGCTAAAGAGACTCAGGATGTCTGTGTCGGTCCCCCATAAATGTCCTTGTCACCACGCCTGCTGTGGCTGTGGCAGCACACACCGACCGTGCCAGGTGCCGAAGCGATGGGATGCCCCAAACTGAGCGTGGTTTGTACCCCGCTGCCCAGTGGGGTTTGCAAAGCTTCCGCTCCGCCGCCTGCTGAAACTCCCGGTGGGAGCACATGGAGTCCTCGGTGCACATCTCCTCCATGAGCTCCGCAGGCCCTCGCAGGAAGGCTGGCAGCTTGTGTTCCGCTTGGGAATTGTGCTGGTTTTTTCTCTGCCCGCGCTATGATGTCTGCACCTGCGGCGCCGCACTCATCACTGCTCAGGGCCCGGCTAGGCTGCGCCTCTGCAGGGCGCCGGTGCACAGCGACCAAGCGCTGAGCGCCCTGTGTGCCAGGCACGGGATAGCGCCACTGCCTAAGCTCGCCAAAACCCCTCCCCTCGGAATGCAGAGAGATAAACCCGAGCTAAACGCCTTCTGAGGAAAACCCGGCTGGGAACATTTTGAAATCCATCCGCCCCCTTCCCACCCGCAGCCCCGCGGGGCCGGGCCGGGCCTGCGCAGCCGCTCTGGGCGCCTCACGGAGGGGCCGCTGCTGCCGCCGCTGCGCGGCTCCTTAGCTTCCTACCTCCCCGGCTCCCTTTCAGCGCTGGCCTTCCCGGCCCAGCGGCGCTGAGCTCGGGGCTCTCTCTCTCGTGCCTGCCCCCAGCCGTGAGGCTTCTGCCCGCTTCCCCTCGCCCTTCGGCGCGGCGGCCTCGGGGCGGGAGGGCCCTCGCTGGCCCGGCAGCAGCGTGGAGGGCCCGCGGCACGGCTGTGCCAGTGCGGCCCGGCCCGAGGCAGCCCTGCCGCGCTTTTGACTTCCCCCGTGTTTCCACTCCGTCCTCCCCCGAGCTCTGGGTGCCCTTGGGCTGCTGCGGTGGCATTTCCCCTCAGGAGGTGGCGCAGCCGCCGTGGCCGGGCCGCGGGGTGCTCGGGCTTTGGCCCGCGCCATTCTCCTGGCTCGCACCATGCCCTGTGTCACCCTTGGGGCGCTTCACTGCCAGGGGAGGGGTTTTTGAAATAACGCGTGAATATTGCCTGAAGGAAAAGGGAAAGAAACGAGGCCGGGAGGAAGAGAACCCCCTCACCTGCTGAGCAGGGCAGCTGGTAAGGCCGGTGCTTCACATCCTGCTGTATCCATCACATTGTGCAGCAATGCTGCCTGCCGGGCAAGCCTGTGCAGGACAGGCTTTTGGGACATTCCTGGTATCTGTGCGGTGCCATCGGGTGAGGGTGGCCCAGAAAAACATCCAGTTCCTGCCTCTAGGTATGCCTGTCCTGGTTGCTCACTGAAAATAACCCAGGTAATGGCAAAGGAAACAGGATTTGCGTTTTGTGACGCTGTGTTGGGTGGGTTTTGTGGCCCTCTTAAAACACATTTCCTGGTTGAGGTTTGACAAAACAGGCTGCTGACTTCAAGACAGCCCTAGATAAACCTGTTGGGGAAATACTTGCTCTCCACAGGAGGCAGGGAAGGTTGCCAGCTATTCCTTGCTTCTCTCCTTAGTGGGTTTTGAACAAACAGCCCATCTGGCAGCTTCTTGTAAAGTAAATCTTGCCTTTACTTCTAGGATGTGCCAGCCCCTTTCCTGGAGGTCTCCACTGCTGGCGAGAGGTTCAAGGGCATAACTAGATGTACTCTTTCTGATTCCTAGAAGAAACTTTTCCTCTGAACCAGACCCAAGAAACAGTGGCTTATGTGATGACTGGCTGTTGACATTGGCTAGCATATGCACTTTGAAAGGTCACCCTGTCCATCTGCCAGATCAGCTGGCCCAAAGCATCTGACTGACCTGTTTGTTTCATTCCAGCAGTCTGGGGCTGACAAACCATGAAGGAAAAATAAGGGAATCCTGAAGCAGCAAGAGAATGTTTGCTCCTGGCCTTTGTCCAGAGAGACTGTTTGCACATCAGTGCTCTCTCTTACCAGGCATGGCACAGGGGAAATAGTGAATCTCCTTCATTTGTCTGAAGGCCCAGGGCTGAGCCTTTTCTCACAAACACCATGAGCTGTGGTCTCACCATCAACTTTGGGGGTAGGACTGCTGTGTACCTGCCTTAGAAGGACTAGAGGGAGCTAATCCAGAGGAAAACTTATTTTTTAATACCGCTTTGTTTTATCTGAGCCTGATCAAAACATGGTTGCACATGTTGTTAGTGCTGTTGTGGCAAGATGGGAAGGGGAGCAGCACAGGCACCTGGCAGAGACATGCAGGGCTGCTGCAGCTGCCATCAGTGACAGCCTTAAGCTGCTGTGGTATCACACCAGCAGCTCCTATTGCTGTAATTTGCCATTTGCCCTTGGAGGGATAGAATTCATTTGGCTTGTGGTGTGTGTTTTTGGGGTTTTTCCAGACCAGTGAAGGGTATAGGTAGTTTAGTTCTTTAAAATACCATTCTACTTTAAAGTAGCACACATCATAAACACAGTATTTGAGGAAAGTTTTCCCTTCTCTTTATTCCTCATGCACAGATCATTTATATTTTAGTGCATGAAGAGCAGTAGAGGAGAAGTTTCCTTCTGTTGGGGGAAGATGGTTGTGTACTTTGTTTTGTTTTTAACATTCCACTGCCTTTTTCCTGGAGTCTTTCTGTGAGTGCACAGACCTTTTCCTTCCGAGGCAAAGCAGCTGCTCTTCTCTGGTATCACAGCCATCATCTCCCCCTCTCTTCATCAGCCAGCATTTTGCAAAGGTCAGAAGTGTATCTTAGATAAAAGTTTACTCAGCACAGAAGCACCTAAGGAATTCTGTTATTTTTTTTTTTAATCTGCCTGGAGGTATTTATATTTCAGTACTAATGCATTCTGGGGATTACCTTGCCCACTGTGGCTGTCATATATATTCCTTACTGATAACACCCCCAAAACAAGCATATGTTGTCTTAATTTTATAGAAAAGAAGATAAATGTAAGCTTACAGGGCCACAGGCTATTGCCTGACCACCAGCTCTGGATCCTCTCTCTTGTCACTCTTACCCCACCAAGTTTTTCTCACTTCACTGCTCTTCTGCCCCAGACACTCATGTGACTGGAACATTTTAGGCCCATCCTCTCCAAAAGAGTTGCCCATTCACTGTAACGCTTGGTGTGGAGCTGGGTGGCACCAGCCCTCCTCAAATGCTGTGTGTTCTTTCCCTCTGTGGTGGTGGACTGGTTGAGGAAGCTTGATAAAAAGGTGTTGGGATGAGGGGATGCTTCAACCAAAGCTTTCCAAAGTGCTGAGCACTGATGATATAACACAGCTGCCTGGTGTCTCCATGCCAGGAAGTGTTTGCCATCCCTGTGAGATTGAAGTTACCAAGTTGTAAGATGCTTTTTTCTTTCTGCTGCTGAACATAAACCAGGAGGGATTGGCTTAACCTGAGTCTTGTAGCAGCATCAGTGGAAAGGTACCCTGTAGAGCATGTCTCCTTTTAAATGGCACACAGAGGACACCCTGAGGGGAATATGCTCCATGGCTTCCTAGTTTTGGGGCCTGAGGCTGTACTTCTGGGAAGCCTCTAGGAAAGTCAGATTTATTGTGGTCTCCTAGTTATCCTACTTAAGGCTGAGGGCTCTTATGCTCTTATCTATGGGGCTTGCTGTTCCTTCTTTACATCTTTAAATTTATTTTTATTTTCTTAATTGAAGTATGATTATGCTAGAGCAGCTCCTGTCATCTCATAAAGCAGTACAAAAATGCCAAATTATTTATGCTGACTTCTGCTTAGATTTTCATGCTCTAAAAAGCCAGCTGAGTCTCATTTCTGTCTGCAGTGGGACCATGGAAGAAAAGGAGACGTCACCGAGTCACACCTCAGAGAGCAGCATGTTGGACCTCCCCTCTGTTTGTGACCTAGCAGAGCACTTTCTGCCTCCACACAGCTCTGAGAACAGCCAGGAGCTTTATCCTTCTGGGGATGTTTTTCCCTCTCCACCCACAGGTAACAGCTTCTGCTTCTCCACATGCTCTTTCTTTAGCCAGTGCTTCATCTGTGTAGGCAGTGTGTTGCTTGACTGAGTCACTGCAGTCTGATACTGGTGCACCTGCCTGTCATAAACCACAATTTTAGCAGAACTGCAGTCTGCTCCAGCTGGACACACACAGTGGGAACTGTGGGTTGATGGGACACAGGAGAGGAGCTCAGAGGATGCTGTCAGCTGCTAATGTTCTGCAACACTCTTCATGTTTAATGTGTTCTCAGAAGGACAACTAATATGTCCTTCAGACATCAGGAGTAAACACTGTCACAAATTACCACAGTCAGCAGGAAGAGTTTTTAAACTTTTCCTTGTGTTTTTCATGTGCTCATCACATGCTCAGGATGTGGCCTCATTATCCTATTACCTTAATAATAATAATAACTGAGTCTTTGTTTGTGCTAGTGACAATAGTGTGGTGAGGACTGCTTCAGTTCAACTCCTCACTTGAAACAGGACTGACTTCTGCAGAAGTAGCATTTTACGTCCCACTACTCCAGATTCTTAAAAGTAATGGTATAAATTGTTTATCCAAGAAGATAAGGGACAGCTGGCAAGAAATATGAGATCAAAATATGCTGGCCCAGTGGCACTTCTTGCCATATATTCATGCTGGCTGGAATGAAGGTTCTAGTGATTATGTTTAATATTGGGGGGAAAATAAGTTCTGGTCAACAAATGATGTGTAGAGAGGATTTGTCAAGACACCTGAGTGGGTAAAATGTCACTGACAACACTTCTTGTTGCTTTAGAATCTTAAGTAGTGTAAAAGTAGGATTTGGCTCCTCTTCTTACTCTGAAGTGGTTTTCTGTGGCCTCCTCCCAAGAAATTAGCTTGAAATTCAACAGGTGACTTTCTTGCAGTGGGAATGGCACATGTTCTAGACAGGTGAGCAGTGGGATCTACCAATTGACCTCTCTCAGCTGATGCTGACTGGTTGCCTGTGCAGTTGCCTTCAGCTCTAGGTGTGGGACATCCAGAACTGTAATGGAATCTGGCAACAGCAGAGACCAAGCCTTGCTTTGGTTTTTCACACAGACCAGGAGGTCACATGTCTTATCTTAATAATGATGGGAATCTTCTGCTGTTAACCTCTGCTTTAAACCACAACACATCACATTCCATGATCCTTGTTGCACTGGAGCAATAGCATGTCTGGTTTGAGGTTTTGCTTTATTTTTGTGTGTAAGAGTAGTCACCAGCACTGCAAGGAATGTCCTGAGCCAGCCTTTTCCACTGTCATGGGAGAGGATCATGGAGAAGCTGCTCTGATCAGGCTGGAAGGCATTTGTCTACTCAGGTTTCACAAGGCCTGTGTGGAAGGTATGAAGCAATCCTGGCAGCTGTGAGGCAGTTCCTGGGATGTGTTGCTCAAACACCATTTAGTGTGGCTCAGGGCAGCTGGCCCTGATTGCTTTGTTGAATGGGACACATGGAATAACTGCATGACCACTTGGCAGCCCCAGGAATGTCTGAGGCTTAGTGGGAGCAGCACATGCGGAAATGACAGTGCTGGGGAAGTGTTTGTGGGGCCTGTGTGGAGCAGGCAGCTGAAGCTCAGCACCAGGGTACACTGAGAGGCCACATCCTGCCTCCTGGCTGTCCCCAGCACCCCCTGTGCCAAGTGGATTCCAGGTATGCTGGGGAGGGCAGATGTGGCCCATGAACCCTCCCCTTCATTGCTTGTTGTAGAGACTGCTCACAACTGAAACAGTTAGCAGTAACTGTGGGATGCTCACTGTGCTCCTGGAGTGAAATAATCCAAGTGTCACAGGATAACCAGTTCATGCTCTGAACATCTTGGCTTTTTTCTCCTCACAAAACATCATACCAATATACATACCCACCTAAACTCTCTCTTTTGATGCAACTTCAGCATTCCAGCCCATTGAGTTGGTCACTGTGACAGAAGAGAGAGGAAGATGGTTTTACAAACAATCTGCTCATGTCAGATATTCTTGGAAAAGCAAGTTCTGTCAAATGTATCCTGGGAAAGGAAGCTCCCATGTTTGTTTGTTTTGTCACGAGGCATTGAGAGCTGCTGCTGTGGCACCGTCTAAGTGGGAAGAGTGGGAGTGGCTGTGGGTTGCACCCCACAGTATGACCAAAGGACTGGGACTTGGGCACGATGGATGAGGATCTTCCTTAGTGATTCAAAAGCCTTTCCAAAAGGCCCACAGGTCTCTGGGAATGTGGCAGCTTCCTTAGGAATGAAACAGACTGACAGGACAGGCTGTGTTTTCTGCCATCTGCCGCATGAACTGGACTGAGACTGACTGAAGTACCACACCATCCGTGCCTCAGGAGGTGGAAATGGTCATGGGGTATCCCTACTGCCTGAGGCAGCAGAAACAGGTTTTATTAGTCTAGAGAGGCTCCATCCCTTCTAATAGCAGAAGATAGGTACTCATTAGCCATGAATACAGGGCTTTCTGAAAGCAGGCATCCCCAGGCAAGAAAACAGTAGTCCTGTAGGAAGATTACTAAGTCTCTTAAATGGTTTATAAATTAGTAGTTTTGTGATTGATGTGGAAGTGAGGGTTCTGCTCTTGCAAGAGGCATTCATACCTTTAGCTTATTGTCACAGTGAGTTCAAGTGTCTAAGTGGTAATAGAAACTTAAATGGGATCAGTAAACACTTCAGTATTCTTCATCTTTTTTAATCCCGTACTGGAAGATAGTTTTAAAAAATGTAATTGTTTGTCATTTTTTAAATCTGCATCACTCGGTTGCTCAATACACCAGGAAGACCTTACCACTTCCTCTGGATTAAGAAAAGTTGCCAGCAAAAGTTCTTACTTGGCAGGCAGCACTCAAGTGTGTGTGTGGGAAAGCCTTAAATCAGGGCACTGAACCAGAGAGTACCAGGGACAGTGGAAAAATACTATTTACCTGGAAAAATTACAACCTAAGGAAGTGTTCGAGAATAATCAACAGGTGTGCTCTACAAACTGGGAGAGCACAGGGTTCTAGGCTCTGCCTGCCCATGCTCTGTGGTCAGGCAGAACTGGATTTCCCACTGCAGCCCTGGAGAAATTCTCCTAATTTTGGAAGCAGCATTTGAGAGTTCAGCTGTGGAATCATGCCTGGGAAATTGCCTGTTTGAAGCATGGGCAAAGCTCAGTCCCATCTCCTTGCATGGCCCTTCCTAGGGCTTGTGATCTTGGGCAAATGGGCCTTCCTGCTTGTCCTGTAGCCTCCATTGCTTTTTCTCTCTAATGAAAAGCAGTGGAAAAGCTGTGTTCTAAAATGGATGGGTGGACAGGGTCACCCAGTGGAAGAAAATGGTGTGTCACAGAAACAGAAAATAAAAGAAGGGTGGCAGAGTTTCCTGTAGGCTTGAAGAGACCTGCAAATATCTAAAAACTGACTGGATTTTTTTAAAAAGCAAAATTAATTAAAGAGGTGTTCAACCTTTAGATGCCTCTCCAAAGACACTTTTGTTCCTGCAGTTTGTTTCAAGTTTGTGCCCAGGCTTACCTTTAGTTATTTTCCATGGACTTCCCTGACCTCTGTAGTGCAAGGAGAGTCCCAGGCTGCTCCTGGCTGTGCTTACTATTCCTGGTTGATCCTTAGTGTTGGTACACAGTGAGAAGTCAGCTCAGGGAGCTGGCCCAGCTTTCTGGGCAGCCATGTGAATATTTGTGTGGATGAAGTGGGGACAGCTCCTCTTCCTGGCAGCAGCACAGGTACAGCCAAGATCCAGTGCTCTGCAATGTGTCCTGGCTTTTACAGGGGTTACAGCCTTTCCAGGATGGTGGTTTGTGAAAAATGTTGGGCTATGAATCTCTTCTCCCTTGTGGGTAGCCAGGCTGTAGGTTCTCTCTGATCAGTTTTGGGGTGTTGCAGGCTTTCTTCAAAAGCAGTCCATTTGGAGCAGGTCACGAGAGCTTGGGGGGAAATGGGACAGAACATTTCACTGGGGACTCTCTGGCTTCAGGCACCTCAGTGAGACTGGGCCACAGCACTGCTGCTGAACTTGCCACTCAGATCAAGGGGACAGCTGGTCACAAGGTTAGCCCAGGTTAAACGCAGGGGTTTTGGACTGTTCCAGTTGCTTTCTGGGTTTTCAGGTAACCAAGCAACTATGTTAAAACAAAGCAGGGATTTTCAACAAGTTAACACAGCTGTCAGTTTTACAGGCAATTGGGATTCCTCTGGAAAAAAAATGCTACATGTTCCCAGTGAATTTACATGCCCAGTTTTGTGGTGAGTTGCTGTGTCTTTTATTAGCAACTGAGGAGTGGTGCTGATGTTGGTGCATGTGTTCTGACTTGTCCTTAAATGCTCTCTACCTTAAATACTCTCTGCCATGTCGTCTGGCCCATCAGGTGTTGCTTAATCTGTTTTGCAGAAGTGGGTTTGTGTTTACTGAAGAAGTCCAGCATGGCTTCTGCTTTTCCTGCCTGGGAATTGTTCACAAGTGTTGATGTAGAGGCTGAAAATGAAAGGAGTGTGTTTGGTCACATCAGCAGCAACCTTTTAGGGCTGGCTCTTGGTGGGTGCTGGGAGGTTCAGTTCAGCCCAGAACTCAGTGCTCACTGCTTGGTGTAGAAATTACAGCTTGGCTGTCTGAGCTGCAACTGCTGCCAAAAGTTGCCAAATTTCCAAAACGGATTTTTTGTTTGGCTAAAGACTTTTATATATAGTCCCTTCAAGAAGTCTGTGTAACTTCATAAATCCAAAAGGTGTGTGATGTTTTAAATCACTTTCAGACTGAGCCACAGCTGAGTTAGAAAGGGCTCATAAGTGAACTCCAGGTCAGATACAGAAACTTCTGATAGTCTCCTTTGCCTAAAAAAATATTGATCACACTGAGAATATTTTAGTTTTTGGTTTGCTTAGAAGGTGAAGGGAGGGCTGCTGTTCACAGGTGCTTTGTGATGTGCAGTTTTCTTTGACTGCAGAAGTTAACCTTGCAAATCCACTTCAGTTTGAGCTGTGGTCCCAAATAGAGCTAAT